TGAGAAATCAGGAAACCTCGCCAACAACCTACCTTTTCCCTCAGGCCCTGTGCAGCTGTTGGCAGTGCCTGTGATGATAGCACAGCTCTGATATTAGCCAACAACCTGCCTTTTCCCTCAGGCCCTGTGCAGGGCCTGTGATGATAGCACAGCTCTGATATTATTGGTCTAAGAAGAGTCACTGTTCTCTGACCTTCCATTCCATGCCTTGCTCCAAAAGGTACAGAAGGCTCAACAGAATATACTCACTGTGTCTCCTTCTAGTCTAGTTCTGCCACTTCATTTCCATCTTTCTGGTGTGTTAATGTTACTCAAAGGCAACACACCTGCAAACACCTGAGCCCTGGTGCCAGCTGGGAATGGGTGGAGATGGTTGGTCAGACGTTAAAACCACAAAATCAGTCTTCCTGCTCCTCTGGGGGCCCTGGTGTCAGCTGGGAATGGGTGGAGATGGTCAAACGTTAAAATCACAAAATCAGTCTTCCTGCTCCTCTGGGGAAACTTGCACTGATATTTATCTTCTTGCACAGAGACATGGAAAATTATCACATGTGCCTAAAACTTCAGCCAGCGCCCTGGAACCCGTCAACCCTAACTCTGAAACGAATGGTCTAGCTAACTGAGTGGTGGTCAGCTGGGAATGGGTGGAGATGGTCAAACGTTAAAATCACAAAATCAGTCTTCCTGCTCCTCTGGGGAAACTTGCACTGATATTTATCTTCTTGCACAGAGACATGGAAAATTATCACATGTGCCTAAAACTTCAGCCAGCGCCCTGGAACCCGTCAACCCTAACTCTGAAACGAATGGTCTAGCTAACTGAGTGGTGGGAAACACATTGCCTATGGGCCCAGATCAGACATCTGAAGGAACAGGAGCAGCTGGTGCACCAGCTTTAACTGTGCACATGCGCTCCTGCCTACTGCTGAGTCTGGTGCATCCAGGCTCAAATTTGAATATAGTGGCACACCCAACTGCACACTCTAAAACCCTTGTTCCTCAACCCCACCCCCTAAATAAGAGCAAGTTTTTAATAGTCCCCCCCTTAAAAAGTCCCCTTGTCCTCCCTAGAGCAGTGGTCCCCAACCTTGGGCCTCCAGATGTTCTTGGACTACACCAACTCTGCTGGCCAGGATTTCTGGGAGTTGAAGGCCAAGAACATCTGGAGGCCCAAGGTCACTGACCTAGAGAGGTATTTCCACATGTTTTCAAAGTCTCTAGCACAGTGATTCCCAAGTTTGGGTAACTCAGGTGTTCTTGGATTGCAACTCCCAGAAGGCTTTGCCACTAGCTGTATTGGCCAAGGTTTCTGGGAGTTGAAGTCCAAGAACACCTGGGTTACTCAAGGTTGGGAGCCACTGCTCTAGCACAGCCATTCTCTCCTTGTCCAGCCAGGCTCGCACCTTTCTGTCCTCCTTTGAGCTGCCAGTGCTGTGCACAGACCAGAAAGCCCCATGGTTGCAGCCCCAGATGGAGAAAAACAAAGTGAAAGGACCCCAGAGAAAGGACCCTTTTTTATGGCAAACAAAAAAGTGGTGCACTGAAGAATAAAAAAACAAAACAAAATTGAAAATGAGATGGAAGTCTCTGCTCTGGACCTCTCTACTGTTAATAACTGAACATTTCGGAGGTCATAGGGTTGCGACAGTCCGTTGGAAGTGGTCGGACAGCACATAACAACACCAAACTAAGTTTGTTGCCTTTTGTTTCTGATGAAATTCTCCACTCCCAAACCACCTGAACTACAAGGCAATTAAAGAATAGTTAGATGTAGTCTTGGGGTAGCCAGAGGGATCTGGCCATCAACAGTGCAGCTTAACAGTCAAATAAGCATTCAATGTGCTTCAGAGTGTTCTAGACCTGGAAAGCCCTGAAAACACTTGTTATAAGGTGGAATCAACTTGATGTCACATAATTAATATTAATTATTAACCTAGATGTAAAAATGTTGCTTCATTTCAGGCCATATGAGATTGATGTCATGTTACTATATTCCCTGCTCAGCCTTGATAACTCATTCAGATTTCACACAGGTGTTGGTAATGTGACAGGTTTATTAAGCACAGCTTTCTGGCATTGGTTTTAAGCATGGGTCTCCAGCAGGGTTTCTGTTCATCCACTGGATAATACAGCAGGAGGAGTCTTTTGTAAGTACTGGGGTGCACTTAGTCCAGTGTAACAAAATATAACATTGTTAATGTGGGTGAAGTTGTTTGACTGATAGTAGGACAGCAAGCTCAACACCCAGTTGGAAAGTGAATCCTGCTTCTGTTGCTGTTCAGCTGCAGAAGAGAGCCAGCATAATATAGCGGTTAGACTGAGACTTGAGAGATATCTGTTCAAGTCCCCATTCAGTCAGAAATCATAACTGATGCCTGATTATTATGAGAAGAAAGCAATTAGTAGAGAATTATACACTAGCTTCAGCTCGTTGGAGGAAGTTTGCTAGATGCTATCAAGTTGTTTCTGACTTGTACTGACCCTAGTCAGGTATCTCAAGGTATGAGAGATGTTGAATAAATGGTTTTGCCAGTGCTCCCCCAGTACGTTTCCATGTTCAAGTGTGGATTTGAAACCACATCTCCGGTATTCTAGTCCAACACTATCCAATATGGCTCTTGAAGGAAAGCAGAATATAAATGTATCAAAATAGTAATAGTGGCAGTGGTGGCGAGAATGATGATATTCATTATTTTTTAAAGCATGCAAAAATTATTTGTAAAGGAGTGTAGGTAGGAGTAAGTGATGAGGGAAATAAAGAGTACAGACAGAAAAATCAGTTGTATTAGTTTTGGTTTATAGTACTAACTAATCTGCTGGTCAAGCAATCCTGAAATGCAGAGGTTCTTTTCTTTCCTCTTTAAAAACCAGGTCCTTGTAGAAGAGGGTGTGGCTGATTTGCTGTGATCTAAAAACAACAAAAGGGAAGGGCCTGTGAGTCATGAATGGCAAAGAAGTTCAAATAAATTTCAAGAAGCCTTGCCTTGTGCCATTTCTTGGTTCATCGGTGGCTGCTGATAGAGAAGTGCTGCACAATGATTTCAAAGTATAGTGCCAAAGGGTTTCTATATGGTCCTTTTTGTGTTTCTTACCATTCTAGTCTTTGTATTGTTTTCTTCTCTCATTTTCCCATTAACATAGCTTTCTCTTGGAGTGCAAAACAAGGTTTTTTTAAAAAAATTGAAACCAAAGATCCTTGGCACAATAATGATTAACCAGTGCCCTGTGATGTTTGCACATACTAGAATGGCAACGTTCATGAATGCCCGGAGGCTGGCACTTTCAATATAATCTCCAGCTGGAGCCCAATTAGTTGAAGGAGATTCAATAAGGATCATACAGGGATCACCAAAATACATGCATATTGGGGGGTGCTTTCACACAGTACTTAATAATGTTTTCCTTATTAAGCTGAGTGGAGCCCATGTTCAGCCTCTTCTGATGTTCCTTGACTTGCTTTAGCTATATAGAGAACAAAGCTGTGCCATATGCCTCACAGTTCTAGAGGGACACTGTTGCTTTGAGAAGTCTGGGGGCACGTGTGCTTGTTATGCCCCATCATGTCATACCCAAATTATGGTGACCTATGAATGGTTGAGTAGACTTGTTTAGGGATGGTTGATCTTCACATCCCATTGGTCCTCCAAGGGTCTCTGCGAGGGCTACATGTTGGATCCAGACTGGATCCTGTTCCTTGGGCATTACCCAGGAGTAAAAGCTCCAGCAGAGACAGGAGGCTGGAAGAAACTGGAATTGCACCACAGTGGCTCTTGGCACATGTGTAGAGGCTGGAAAAATTATTCTTTAGACAACAATTCCCAGAATCTCCAACCATTATACCACTGGCCATGCTGGCAGAGGGATTCTGGGAGTTGTGTTTAAATGCAGTCTATTCTCTTTTCCTCCAAAAGCTCCAGAATACAACGTCTATGTCAGACAAGCACAGCAGTACACCTACAGATATTGGCAACATAATGGCATTTAAATATTTTGAACTACAACTCCCACAGTTCCCTATCAATAGCCTTTCTGACTAATCTGATAGGAATTACAGGTGTCATCCAGGTGGAACATTCGTTTTGCTTAAAATACCATGTTCTATCCTAATATTCATATTTTTCTGATCACCCGTATGATACTTCCCTTATCATAATTCATGCAATGCTTTATTCTATGACTTTGCGTTATTTTTTTAACCTCCAAAAAGTAAAGCTTGTTTTTAGCAATCTTTATAGTGGGGGAGGGGGAGGCAGAGTTGAGCATTTACTGGTTATGGTTGATGGCCACGGTGAGAGCGCCAGTTGTAAGCGTTCATTCAATACAGTGGTTGTTGTTGTTTAGTCGTGTCCGACTCTTCGTGACCCCATGGAGTCTGGCTTCAGTAGGTCCCCCATATAAGCAGCAGTTCAGTTCCAAGCCCCCTCCCGTGGATACTGAAAAATGTGGATCATAGCAAACACTATTTTAATAACACCATGCATAGCATGCTATCTGGCTCCCTCTAATAGCTAGTTCTGGTAAATTCATTTTTAGAAATATGTGCTTCTAAAGAATCCTAGGATTTTTCTTTTAATATTTTCACAGAAATATATGCTTTTAAAGAATCCTACTTCTAGGATTTTTCTTTTAATATTTTCAGACCGTGGATAAGTGAATCACCAGCTACTGATCCTGTGGATATGGGGGTCCTACTGTAACTGAAACAAAACAAAAATAAAACTCTCTGGCAGAGAAGCTCTAGCAGGGAAATTAATTTCTTAAAGATATCTTAGTGAATCTGTTTTTTTTAAAGAAGTAAACTAACATGTACAAGGGAAATCTGGATGCAAATCATAATAAAGAGTGCGTTTTTTGTGGAAATGTTGTCTTTCTGGAGAGCCATATGGAAGGCCTATGCAGTAATGGGATTAAACAATGTCGTTCTCCTGCTCTTTTTTATTCTTGAGACAGAATCTGGATGTTAAAACAGGTGCTTCTCTCTTCCATACTTTTTCTTTCAGCCTTGCCCGACAATGGAGTGCTGAGGATGAGGAAGAACAGGAGAGAGAGCGCAGGCGAAGACACAGGCAGCAGAGTTCCATCTCTGAAGCAAATGAGGAAACCTCCAGCACGGAGAAGCAAGATGGAATCCACCAGGCACCAAACAGGTATATGATGCATGATGTTTGAGATCATATAAGGTACCGTGTAGCTGTGCAATTTAAAACTATTTCTGATTCTCATGGAGGCTAAATTTCACTAATTTTTAAAGTCTGCTGCAGTGTTTCTGTGCCTACAATTGCACTTCATATCAGCTTTTAGGAGGGTGAGTATGGCTTTGTTGAAACTAAGAAGAATGGTTCATTCAAGAAGCTGGGCCTTCCCCCCTTCCTCCCTTTAGCTATAGCTGCTTGGGTCTGGCCCAAAACCTGCTTCTAAGGATTGGCAAACCCACCCTGGGAATGATGCTCAATGTGGGAGCTATGGAGGGTGGCAGATATAGTGGCACTGGCAGACATTCTCCGTTACTGGAGTCATAGAGCAGCATGGGATATAATTTGAGGAAAAATCCAGAGCTCACAGCTAGTAGAGCACTTTTTTTCGGCTTATATTCTCAGTCCACTCCCTTGTATTGGAAAAAGTGAGGTAGAAGACAATTGCAAAATATTTGTGACTCATATTCTATAAATCTGCTGCAAGTCAAAGTGTGTGGGTGAGGAGGAAGAGGAATGGAGGAAGGAAGATGTAAAGATTCTCCTCCCTACCTCTCAAGTTACTATTTGCATTTCAACAGAGGGGAAGGAGAGCACAAGGCAGTATGATATTAGATTTATATTCTGTGATTTCAACAAAATGGCATGAGCTGACAGTCATAGGTGACTGGACTGCAAAAGTACAAAACAAAGCATAGGAATCAGAAATGAAGCAGGAGAAAGATTCACAGAATTCTGTGAAGCCCACAATATGTTTATTGAAAATACCTTTTTCAGATTGTACATGCAGGTGTCACCAGATGGCCAATACAAAAATAGGTTGAGTCTATAAGTGGAAGCAGGAGATAGAGAAGCAAAAGCAAGACAGAAGTATACAGTGGTAAAGACCATGAAATATCAATATAAAAAACTAGAGTAAAGCTGAAGAAGAATACTCGAATAATCATAGTGCTATAAAATAACTTATGATTCATCAAGAATTTAAACACCACATAAAGAACTGAATTGCATCACTCAGCTCAATTGATTATGAATCAGAAAAACTGTAGATTGAAATGAGAGATATTGTCAGAGAAGAATGTGAAAAGAGTAATTTCTGGTCAAGAAGAAAGAAAAGTCTCAGTGGAATGACTGGTGAAATTCTTAAAATTGTCAATGACAGATGAGGAGCAAATGTAAAAGGTGACAGACAGAAGGTCAGAATCCTAAATGCTGCTTGTTACTGACACAAACAGAAGTATATACAGTAATTGCAAGGAAACGGAAAAGAACAAAAAAAAAGAGAGTAAGAAAACATAAGATACTTCTGTAAGATCCAAGAACTCAAATCAAAATTAAAAACTAAAATAAAGATGCTGAATGATCAACAGGGGACTATATTAGCTAATCAAGATGAAACAAGGAGAAGATGGTAACACTGTACTGAAGAATTATATGGAGGACACACAGATTTCTTCAGGGAAGGATCCTTTCACAATGAAATACAAATTCTAGAAGATTAAGATTTAGGTATCTGGCTACAGAGCCAGAGGTTGTCAGCTTAATTCCCCACTGTGCCTCCTATGAGGAGAGCCAGTCTGTGTGGCCTTGGGCAAGCTGCAGAGTCCCAGGTTACCCCCAGAAGAAAGAGAGTGGTAAACCTCTTCTGAATATTCTTTACCTGGAAAACCTTGGAAAGGGTTGTCATAAGTCAGAATTAACTTGATGGCACATTATTATTATTTTTTACTGGAGTGTACAAATAATTTCAGAAGAATATCAGTTTGTACTTTAAAGTTTGTTATTACGTATTGCCAGCAAAATTAGTAATGGCTTGAAAAATGACTGACAAAGATAAAGAAAAAAAGTGCAAAAGCAGGATTATGGTTAAACATCACAAAGAGCAAAATCATGACTAAGAAAGCATCACTTAACATAAATGTGGGAAGTGAAGAAATTAAAATTAGAGTGGCAGCAGTAGTGGGGCAGTTCAAAAATGGAAATAAGAAAATAAATTAAAGTATTACAGTTTTCAAAATAGCTTGGTATGCTCATTGTTTGAGACTGCAGTCAAGAAATCAGAAGACTGAAAATTGGAAGGGTAGCTCCACAGGAGTGAGGAAACATCCTGAAGAGTACAGCCCTGTTGCTGGATGCCAAGATTATCTATACTGTAGTACTTCCAGTCATTGCAACGGCCACCTAACAAAAATGGAGAGAGAGGGGCATGAATAATCCAGCTTCTCTGCTTTTCCTATTCTCACTGGGTCCACATGTAAGATTTTGCAGCTTGCATTGCCTGTTATTTCTGACTGCAAATGCCCATAATATAAAGGCCAAGCTTGAATGACCACCTGGATATAATTGTAGCAGAAAAATCTATGTGACTGAAATTTCCAAAACAATTGAATACTCTTTCTCCTATAATTACAGTCCTGAAGAACATCTGAACTTAAATATGAGCACAACGTGCTTTTGATATTCCATCACTGCATAAATGATTTTCTGGTGCCAGTCCCTGTAGCATAAAACCTATAGTGCCACCCAGTGTTGCCACTGAGTTTCTGAGAGCTTCATTTCTTGTTAAGAACAGCCTGTTAGGACTTTTAACAGCTAACACGTGCATTGTAACTGGAGTATATATCATTAACTATAACCACCTAATCAGAAGCATAAAGTGTTATCCCAATTTCACACAACTATACACTAGGGATGTGCATGCTGAGAACTAATTTTTTGTTTGTTTTGTGTTCTTTCAGGAACAAATTTTTCACATTGTTCATTTGCTGGTTTATTTGTCAAAAATGAAAGAACCCATCTTTTAGGCTTTTTCATTTCTTTTCAGCCATTTTGGTTATTGTCTTAAATGAACCTTTAAAGAAGTAGGTAAATAAATTTATCATCATCATGGAGCAATACCATCTCAGAGAGGCCTATGTGGACCGCACCAGTACTTTTCTGTTACATTTAATTTTATGTGATATTCAGAACCAGATTCAACATCATTAACATCAGTGTCATTTCACCACCATCACCATCATCCAGCAATGTAGCTTGAGACATTAAAAACAACCAAATGATCAGTGTACAACCTCCCCTTAACCCCCCCAGTGATTTAATCGAGGAAGAGACCAAATTATGCAACAAGAAAAAATTAAAAAGCATTAAGATCAGGATATGAAGTACAGTCCAATTATATACAGTCAAACCAACCTCTCAACCCTATCCCCTGGAATTTGAGACTGGGGATTTTACTCCCTCATACCACTTTGATGAGTTATGATGCATCAATTCACAGCAAGACATCCAGGGCAGGCCATCAGGCAACCAGATAATCCACAAGGTATGTGTGTGTGTGTGTGTGGGGGGGGGAAGGAACGAGAGAAAGTTTCCCAAGAAAAGCAAAAGGGGTCAAAATGAAAGGATGAAATAGGAAGGAAGAGGAATAATAACTCCAATTTCATAATCAAGGCAGTAACAGCAGACAATGGAGGATGCAAAAGGAAGGAATTTTTAAAAGGTCATCAAAAATGGAGGAGGAGAGGCAGCAGTACAATCACACAATGATCAATCCAAACTGGAGGCAGGGCAAGCCAAACCAAGGCGCTCAGTCAGCAGCGAAATCCTACAAGGAACCACCAGCAGCAAAGAACACTCATAGCTTTTTTTTGCAGAACCGTTTAAAGATTTGAACTCCACCTTTCCAGATACTCTGACTGGCAGGCTGACAGTGAGATTTATAATGCTGCACAGCAAAAGAGGTGATTTTGCATACATGAGATGAAATGAAGGAAACAAATGATGAAATCATGGATGATGACAAACTATTTTTATGCCTCTTATTCATCACAACAGATAATTTGTTTTTAAGTGCTCTGGAAAGCACTAGAAGAAGATGAAAACATGAGAACATCTCTTCCAATTTTGTTTTCATTAGTGAGGCAAGAGGGAAAATACAGAAAGCGCTGACAATCACATTATTAACAATGACCATTCTCCAAATTGTTGTTGATAACACAAAAACCTTGACATTAGTGAAGGCTAAGTGGTGTGATAAGAACTCACTATATGAGTTTGAGAGGTCTGCTGATGCGAAGGGCTTCCTAATTAACATAGTGGTGTCTTTCTCTCTCCTCCCCCCCCCTTATCTTCCTTTGACCTACAATGACTACTTTAAAGTCAATTACAAAAGGTCTAGGATCCCATTTTTTGAAACAGTGTCATTTCTATTGTGAAAGTTGTGTCCATTTATTCTTTTGTGCAGAGACTGGTTTGTTTGCCCTATGCAAAATGCAGAAGGGCACTGCTGACAGAAGAAGGCATATATTGCACTGGAAAATCACCATCTTCTCTTTTGTTGTAGGTTCTGTAGTTCCTCAGAGGCAAAGCCACCAAAGCTGAGGAGCTCAAAGCAGGAAAGTGAGAGGACATTGATAGATACAATAAATGAAGAGGAAAACAGAAGTGTAAGGAGGAGAATAGAGATCTTCAATCATATGAAACAAGATAAGAAAGAGGCAGTGGGTACCAGGAAGTTAGAAAAGGGGGCTGCTGTAGAGAAAGCAAGGCCCCTTTCACAACCAACACAGAAGCAGAAGATTGCAGTAGTGGAAAAATGTGAAGGCCTGACTCAGAAGGGCCCATCAAGAGTAAAGCAGGAAAACCTGGTACAGGAACAGGAGGAGGCAACACTGGAAAAGCAGAAAAGTTTGGATCAGGAAGAGAAGGAGAGGATATTGACTAATCATGAAAACTTGGATCAGGAAGTGAAGGAACTTCAAACGGCCAAGGATGAAGTCTTCAGCGATGAGGAGAAAGCACCAAATACATGTGAGTCCCCCAAACTAGTTGCAGTCCAGAATGAGGTGGCCACACAACAGCCTCAGCGAGCATCTTGGGAACGGCGGAGTATCAGCCGGCTTGAGGTGAAGATTCAGCCAAGAGTAAGAAACTTCACTGAAACTGTTTCAGCTACATCTTCTTCAAGGCCACAGGTATTCATTCTTAGTGGAGGGAATAAAAAGGCTGAGTGTGGGGTGGTGGAAGAGAAGGATATTGGCTACAAGCATGGGTAACTTAAGAACAGGGTGCCCCCTGCTTGGTCTGTGAGCCACCATTGGTCTAAAGTTTCGATGCATGTTTGAGATCGGGTAAACTAAACAGAGTTATTTCTCATTTCAGTCTTCAAAGTTGACAGCTTCACTCAGCCATGGAATCAAAATTGGTTTTAGGAGGGACTATCTGAGTAACTTAGAGACAGCATTAGGACATTGGATGAGTCCTGTCTGCTGTTAGTACAATAAAGGACTAGACTAGTAAATGTATTTATTACTACAGTTATTTAACTATTTCAGTAACATTTGTTGCAGGGTATTTTACAATGACCATATAAAAAAACAATGATTTTGGACATTAAAGTCCTGAGGAACAAGAAAAACACATAACAAACATATTGCATATTCAGTTATTCATGAAAAAACAACTTATAGATGTGGACAAAGTCCTAGGGGAATAAAACAACATTTGAGTAGGTAGACACTTGCTTTCCTTTTTTATTGCTTCATCAGATGCACCTAGAAGAGATGTCTTAGAAGAGATGTCATTATGCTTCAATGGAAGTCACTAGAGTAGCCTTAAACAAAAGAGGGCAGGACTCTTGTATTTTAGTAGTTGTACATGAGAACTACGTCTGTTGAAATGTTCTCTTCTACATTGCTACTAATGTTACAAGACTCCTGCTCTCTTCTGCAGGAATCTACCTTAGATATCACCTGCACTTAACTCTCAGAAACTCCAGACAAGGCCTACTATAGATACACAGATCAATCCAATAAATGTCTACCCAGCAGTAAGTTCAAAGGACTTTTCTCCCAGGGAAATTTATATACAGTAGAACAATCAATGTATGGTGGGAGCTCCTGACACTGTAAGTGATTTCTATTTTGGATTAGTTCCAGATTCTCATCCCCATCCTAGCCTATTTTTCATTGATTTATATGTATCTTCCAGGTTACAGAAAGAAGTATTCCCAAATCAATTGATGAAACTGTAAATTCTCCCTCCAACAAAGATGGATCTGAAGCTTCTTTAATTATCTCTCGCCCATTGATTACCTACAGTAGTTCATTCAAACGCGTCACTCCAAGGACAATCTCCTTCCGGGTGAGCATCAACTGTCGAGGGAGGAAAAGATCCTTCATTTAAAAATGGATGACAAGGGATTGTCACACTGTATTTAAATGTGCATGAAGCACACATATTTGTATATGGGACCTCCCTCAAGATTTGCCATTGGGGTCTGAATCTCTGCTCAGATTCCTGGGAAAAAAGTGTGCTGCTGTAGTTATGGTAAACTGAGAGAAATACAGGCTGTATTCTGGAATGTGACAGTAGACTGCACCATCTTGCTTGTTGTGCCTTTGAGCAGAGTTTGATCATGAAGGGAGCAACTGAACTAAAAGTTAACATGTAGAAGGAGAAAGAGGGAGAGATTGTTTTAAGGCTGAGATTAAAGAAGCAAAGTCTTAGCTTTGAGTTTTGTTGCTAGTCTATATTTTTCTGAGTTTTGTCTTTTCAGTACAGATGGGAGTATATGTTCAGTTTAATTTTGGATTTAATATGGGGCCACCCTGAGAACTTCTGCATGTTTTATCAGCACCAGAATTTATCAGTTGCTGAGGGTCATCTTGACAACAGTAGTTGTTTATGCCTGGTGCTTTCGAAGGGCATCTCCTTGACAGTCCTCAGCCTTTGCATTAAAAACACTGTCAAATAGAAAGCTCAATTTCTCATATCAGTTGTGTTGTGCTTCTAGGTGGTTTCCAAGAAGGACAAAGAGGATGATACAGTATTAAGCAGGAGGTCAGTGGATATTAAGACATCTTTCATGTTTGTCACACATCTCAGGACACTTAGATGTATGCTTTGTTGCTTTCTTAGAATCATTTCAGATAATCCCTAAAACAATGGTTCCCTAAAGCATGTGCCATTTCACCCTGGGGTGCCACCAGACCTATCCAGGTGCACCATAGAATCCTCTCAGCCTTCACTACCACCTTCCTCTCTCCTTGGCCAGCAGGTCACCCCACATGCTAGTCGGAATTGAACCTTATGCCTTGCCCGTGCCCAGGCATAGACTCCAAGATGAGACATCCCCCTGTCCTGGATGCCCACCCGTGCAGGAGAATAAGAGGCAGCGGTGGCAGCATCCTTTTTGGGCCAAGAAGGCTCCAGAGTAAAGGAAACTGAAACTCAAAATAGTTTGGGAATCACTGCCCTAAAGATCATTGGCATTTTATGTAGAAAGTACTAAACTTGGGCCATTGGTCAACTAAAGCCTTTTCCGGATGTAAAACCTTTTGGTGATCTGAGGCAAGTTAATTCACTATTTGTACATCACCACTTGCTTTTTGCTATTCAAGGGGAAGGTAGCTATAACATGTGAACAGCATTAGCAGTAAGACTGGCATGGATGGAAGTAAAAATATATTGCTTTTTCGCAACATTCTGGATTTGTGGAACTGAGAGGAAAATTCTGTGATACATGTTATTTCTTCTATAAGTGCATTTTAGGTGGAGGAATTTTTTTTAAAAGCCATAATTCCCATGATGGCCACTGGAGGCAGAGTCTGCTGTAAAAAGGGTTCCAAATTCTTTCTCTTTGCTGTGCTACAGAAGTTCAAACGCTATGATTTCATGGTATACATTTTTTGAATCCTCTTACTGGGAAATAGTGATGGGCGGAAGCAGGGAAAGGCAACAATAACTTTTTCCCCTGTTTCTCTTTCAACAAGGAATCTGTTTTTAGGCTTTTTCTTTTTTATATAATGTGTTCAGACAGACCGTATATAACCTGACAGTAACATGACAATAGTGTTTTGCATCTAAATCAAATGTAGCCCTCCAGGCAGGGTTTCAGAGTGAGCATGGCTCAGCCAAAGCTGGACCACTGGTTTCTGTAAGAGTGTTAGGCATGCTCTCAATGTCACCAGTTGAAACCAATAGGATTGAAAGGCTTGTGACCATTTTCTCTCTGTTTAATTTTACCATCTTTCCTACCTGATGACTATTTGAACAAGCAAGCTAAATGTTAGCCAAGCTAAAGCATTTAGTTTGAGGCTGGGTGAGTGGGAAGGGGCATCGGAAAAAATCAACAACCCTGAAATGACAGCATATGACCTTTCTATATTGGGAAACAAAGGTAGAAAAGAAAATGGCAACTTCCCAAATATATGCATAACAATGAGCCATGACTAGAGCCTAGATTTTTTTTTTACAGTTAATACTAAATGCTGAAGCACAGGTACTCATTGTGACTGCCTTGATACCCATGTCCCAAAATACAGTCCATAAATATATATTACCTCATCTATATCAACAACCATGCCAACAAACCATTTGTTCTTTATCAATAAAACAGTAATTTTCATTGGCAAGTCTTTTGTAAAGCGAGTGGATCTTCATCACCCATTCAAGACCAAACTATTCCAAAATATTTTGGATCTCAACATATACTCGTAGTATAACAATTTATTTATTTAAAATATTTTTACCTTGCCTTTCTCCTAAAGAGGAAGTTTAAGAGTTTAAGAGGAATATGTAATTGTCTCTGATAATAAAAAAAGTCTTAGTGCTCTGACCCTGCGAACCCTTGTTCCACTACCATGAACAGACCAACGCTGAAACAAAGGGAAAACTGATCCGATTTTTTTCAACATTCACAGTTATAGAAGCTTTTTCACTTGGAAAGTTTAGAAAAGAGGAAGGGCAATGATGTCGAAGTATGAATTTGGAAAGCATGGGATCAGCCTTAAAGTTTTAACCCTCAAATTTCTGCCAGGCTTGTTTCAAAACCAATATTTGAAAACATTCAAGAATGTGTATTCTGAAATTCCAAACTTGCGTAAAATTTCAATCTGTCTGTACAACAGAATACCATACAAGGGTGATAAAAAACCTGTTGGTCTTTCACTCCATGGATGTTGTATGAACCACTAATACAGGATTGTTCCATTTTGTTCTTCATACCCTGTCTTTTTTTTTTTTTACCTCTGCTTCACTAGTGCCAGCATGAGGCTCCCAGCAAACACAGGTAGACTTGAGGAGAAACTGGAGAAATACACTTCTGCTGTGCAGGTAAATCTATGACCAGCAAGGATGGCCTATGAGGGCTTTGTACCACATGTTGAGAATATCTCTTGATAGGAGTGATGAATTACTTAGCTTTTGAATGGTGAGATAGGGCAGAGCTTGGAAAGATAACTTTGGAACCGTAACAGGCAACATAGCCAGGTTGGATGAGGGGTTCAGGAAGTGGTCCACAAAATTATTTTTTCCTGGTTCTGTACCAGGGATGTTGTCAGGAACCTTTGGATTATATGATGTTAATTGTGGAAAGGTCAAGAAGTGACTAAAGTGCATATCCAAAAACATTATTTTGGAACGATAGAAATATGGTATACATTTTATAGGTTAATACAAGCCAGCTAAATTTTCTGGGAAAAGAAAAGAAACTAAGAGGAAGATCCTTCACTACAAGATATCATTTAAAAAGTAATGAAATTCCACCCCTGCCAATGGTAAAATGTATACTTCTCCTGCTGTCTGATTATCTTCTTTCTCCTAGAGAGCAGGGTCAATTAAACTGGCTCCATCTGCCCGGAGGAATTTTCAGTCACCTTTGGAGGGTGTGGCCAGCAAGCGCAGCATCTTTGAAACCACTGTTCCCAGCCGAGTTGAGCCTGCCACTCTTATCCGGAAGGTAAGGCCTGAACATAAACAGAATCAGAAAGGATGTAAATCTTCACTAGTTGAATAGCACTCCACAAAATCTAGTGGGGAATGTTTGAGCAGAGGAAGGTGGCACTGCCATGCTGCAGAGCATCACAGCACAAACCCCTAAAGGCTTCTTGAGTTTGTTCAGCAAGTCCAAAATATGGAGGGAGACATCCCAAAGGAAAGTTGTATAGTGGTATGTGAAGTTTTTAAACTGTCTTCATATCAGACCATCATATAGGGTGAAGAAACATTTGGTGAGATTCTAACTTGGAAAACATTCTAGTAGTTTAAAAGCCATACAGTGCTAACATCCAATAGACTCAATGGCAGGTGTTATAATGTCAGGTAGCCTAAAATTTCAAGGAGAGAATGCCAACTCCATTCCAACTTTCATTGGCTCCTATCCCCGCCCCCAAACATGGAGCATGACATAATGAGGGAGCGCTTCAGGTCCATCTGAAGAAGTTGACTAAAGTCCATGAAAGCCTATGCCAAAAAGCACAAAACCAAACCAAACCAAACCAGGTTAGTTTCTAATGGTGCCACAAGATTCTTTTGTCATTGCTACAACATAAATAACCACAAATTTGGCCCTCCACTTGGAGTGACCTAGAATGAAGCTAGAAAGACATTTGACAGAAGAAGGCTGAGCAGAAGGGTATGGATGTGACACTTCCTTAAACCATGTGGTTCTTTTTCATGACCTGGAGATGTACCTGCTTCACATTCTTGGCAATGCTGTAGAGCTAGTCCACTTGAGCTTGCAGGATTTTTTTGGGTTGTTTGGTCCCCTCTCTGAAAAAAGATCTATTTCTGAAAAAGTTACTTTCTTTTGCTTTAAAAAAGGGCCTGTTATATGGGAGATAGAATGCCTCAGCATACAAAAGACAGTAATGTGACTTGCTTGCATGATGCAGTTGTGTCTTCTATTCCCTTGTGATTTAGGAGAGTTTGAAGATTCCAGGGGGAGTCTCTTCTCGCATCAACCTCTGGATCAGTCGAACCCAGGAGCCAAGCAAGGATGAGGGAATCAAGGTATCAGAAGTCCTGCTCCATTGTTCTGAAGTTTGCTCTTTGTATCCACCTTGTTGTTTAGTCATTAAGTCATGTCCAACTCTTCATGACCCCATGGACCAGAACATGCCAGGCTTTCCTGTCTTCCACTGCCTCCCAGAGTTGGATCAAATTCATGTTGGTAGCTTCAATGACACTGTCCAACCATCTCATCCTCTGTTGTTCCCTTCTCCTCGTGCCCTCACACTTTTCCAACATCAGGGTCTTTTCCAGGGAGTCTTCTCTCTTATGAGATGGCTAAAGTATTGGAACCTCAGCTTCAGGATCTGTCCTTCCAGTGAGCACTTGGGGTTGATTTACTTCAGAATGGATAGGTTTGATCTCCTTGCAGTCCAGGAGATTCTGAAGAGTCTTGTCCAGCACCACAATTCAAAAGCATCAATTCTTTGGTGGTCAGCCTTCTTTAAGGTCCAGCTCTCACTTCCATACATCGCTACTGCAAAAACCATCGCTTTGACTTTGCAGACCTTTGTCATCAAGATGATGTCTCTACTTTTTAAGATGTTGTCTAGGTTTGTCATTGCTTTCCTCCCAAGAAGCAGGTGTCTTTTGATTTTGTGGCTGCTGTCACCATCTGCAATGATCATGGAGCTCAAGAAAATAAAATTTGTCACTTTGTGCCCTAGAGGGGTCAATTGCTCACACACAGCTGGTCTTCTTACTAGAGGGTGGAGAAGTTACTTTTGGGGGGTTATATCAAATGAAGGCTCAGCAGGGAAATGCTTTCCTGTCTTCCACATGGCCAGCCAACTATATGGAAAGGCTCTACACATACATGTGAGCCAATAGATTATCAATGCACATGTCACTGTAAATGTGCTGAGCTAAATGTGTGAACCACAGAAAAATGTGTCCTCTCCAGTCACAGGTGACCTGGGAGAATAGGCAGATCAATGTATTTTCTTATCTTGTTGTCACAGTCTTTCAATGTGTGTTGGGAAAGTATTGTGGGAGTGTCCCTTTGGGGGCTATGACCCTACGTCATCCTTTTGTGAGCTGGTTTAGTTTAAATTTGACTCCCCCTAGTTTTCATACAAGTCATGCTTCATTTCCAGCCCTTGGAACAGGTACTTTTGGACTACATACTACAAAATCCTGGAACCTTTGAGGCCACTATAAGTTGTCGCCCAAAAATTATCTTTTCCAAGCTTTGCCTGTTTTAGACTCTGGCCAAATTATTTGGTGCAGTTAGCATGTCAATTAGAAGCAGAACTATCTTAAAATGCTGCTTCTGAAAATATATGTTTAACCCAGTGTGAAATTGCTTCACTCTGTGTGTTGTAAAATAACCTTGTTTTATTATTGGTTGTTAGGAAGTGAACATGGGCTTTGTTTCCTACTCTGATTGCTCAAGAATGGAGCTTTGAATGAATTGCATTCTGGGGGGAGGAAACCTTGTAATAACAGGGAAATAATATTTTCCTTACTATGTATTTTGACCCAGCACCACCAATTTCTATTTATCTTTAGAGGTGGGAGGTCATTTGGCCTTGGGGCCCTCAGAACAAACTGTAAATTATATAACTGCTGCAAGTCCTGCAAGCAGATTTACTAGCAATCACATGAAAAGTTCACCTGAATGGGAAAAAGAGCAGTACAATGTATCCAGAATCCACTGGAATCCTGTGGATCTACTCGGTACAACTGGCACCTCCCCAAATGCTGACTCTAGCTTAAATCACTAAACAGGAGCCAGTAGTTTGTCTCTGTGTGAAGTATTTTTGATCACTTGTGATCTGTCTTCTTTCAGGATATTCGGAGAAGTGAGAATGACCCACAGCAGAATCAGTGGGGGAAACACTCTGATGATTCCTGAAAGAAAACCAGGGTAAGGTCAAAAGGACATGGACTGCCTTGCCCAGCTTTGTACACAATGTGCTGGTCTGAAACCAAGCGCCATTGAACTGGATAGACCTCAGAGTATAGTGCCTCAAGGCGCACCAATGTGCAACTCAACTCCTATTGTGAAATAGTAGCTGAGAGTGCTGAAGTAGTGCCTAACATGAGTAATCCAGATTATCAACCCATAGTCAGTTATGATTCTCATTGGCAATCTTGTACTAGTCACTCTCTTTCATCCTCAGCTATCTCATAGGGTTATTGTGGGCCTAAAGGAAGGGCATGTATGTATTTGTATGTAACAAATACATACAACAAATGTTCGTTGCATTGCCACAGTGCTACCAGTAATGGATTGAGCAGTAGCTAGCAACTGGTAGTTTTCTGAAGGTTGTCACCTATGGATCTACTCAGTCTGACTTCCTGACCCAGGGTACATTGATCAGTGCTTCCTTAGAATTATGATGGATGTGAATTCATAGCTCCTTGAAAGAGATGGTAATGGTGACACTGATGGCTGTGATGATGACATTGACAATTGTGATTCATTTGTCCTTCTTCACAGGTTGTCATGGTGGCTAATAATCTACACAAACACAGTTAAAATTGCAAATAACTAAAATCTCATATTGCAACTATCTAAAATCACAAATATCCAAAAGAATAAATTGCAAATGTAAATTGCAATAATTACTAAAATAGTACTGTAGAAAATACAGTGAAAAGCAAACGGAGCATAACAAAAGAACTGGAAAGACCCAACTTCAAATTCACACAGCTATGAGTGAGCACTTTCTATTTACTGTTTCTCACTCCACCTTTCTCCACAGGTTTGTCATGAGGCTAAAATGAGATGTAGTGGGGAATGATGAGACATACTGATGTACATAATTATAAATATGATCTTAGGCATGTGAACTGATGCCTTGTGGCACAATGGTTAAACTGCATACTGCAGCCAAAACTCCGCTCATCACCTAGGTTCAGTCCCAGGTAGCTGGCTCAAGGTTCACTCAGACTTCCATCCTTCTGAGGTTGGTAAATTGAGTACCCAGCTTGCTTGGAGCTGCCAGTGTGTAGCTTGCATAATTAAACTGTAAACCACCCAGAGAGTGATTTAAGCTCTATGGGGCAGGATGTAAGCAGCACACTGTTTTGCTTTGCTTTGATGTTTGTCTGCCCCTCTTCCCAACCAGCTCAGGCACATTTAGAGATATGTATATTTGGATATTTCTTCTAATGGCCAACACTGTATTAATCTCTCTTTTTTTGTATCTTTCAGACATAACTGTGCAAGCTGCTCTGGGGATAACCAATCTCTATTTAAATCAAAGGCCTGGACCACTTCAAATTCTTTTACATCCCTGGTTTCAGACTATTCCCTTCCACAGGGCCATTTGCCCAGCGAGAATATTATTTATCCACCAACCTGCCTATGGTGCCTTTTTAGGATGGGGGTTTCTTGGTGATTTAAAAATGCTTCTTGTTGGTGGATGGAAAAGTTGTCAATGAAATAGAAAATGTGGCTTCCGTATTCCACAAATGTCCCTTTCTACTTACTGCATCTTGTAGCCCCCAAATACGAAAGCCTCACATTCTACCAGCAACCCGAGAACCAGTGTGGAGTGCAACAGCTGGAGTGCTGGATTAGGACTTGAGGGATCCAGGTTCAGTTCCCCCACTTGATCTAGGACACTACCTGGCTGCCCCAGGGTTGGTCCCTCTCTGCCAGCTTGGCTTACCTGCCTCACAGGGTCCATGTGAGGATAAAGTAGGGAAGAGAATAGCTGTAAAAACTTCTTTAAGACCATTGGAGGAAAGGCAAGATATAAATCTAACAAATAAAACCTTGTCCGTCCCAAAACAATGTCAGCTAGGACTCGTGGTCCCCAGCATCATGTTGGTAAGATTATGGAGGAAATGTAATGTATTGGGCACTTCACGGTGGGGACATTTAGCAAAGCAGTTCCCAGTGGAGACTTGCTGCTATCTGAATAGTGGGTGTGGGGTGCCGTATGGCATGTGCAATGGAGAAGGGAGTAAATGCCTAAATGTGTGTTGGGGGCCTTCTTTCTATAGTGACCCATGGGGAAGAGGAAGGTAAAAAGGCCTTCTGAAAAATTATCAAAGTTTATGTATGTTAGCAAGTGGGTTTCCACTTGGCCTTGCTGAAACCCACAGAAGAGTTCCACTGTATCTTAAATCCCACTTTAAAGCAGGATTTCTTGTACAAGCCTGGAAGCCTGCTTAGAAGCAGAGCTTGGGAGTAATTTGTAGCAAGTCATGAAATCACCCATAATATCTTGCTTGAGAGGGATAATGTAGTAGCATTTACTCATTGTCTTTTCTTTCCATTTTTTGGAAGCTAATGCCTTTTGGGGGAGGCTTTGAGACAAGGTTCTTAGGCCTTGAAAAAACATTTTTTTAAAGGAAATAAAAAATAAATTGGAAGTAAAAAAAGCAATGTAACTAGTTCCTAAAACTGTTTGATAACAACAACAAGGTGCCTGTTAGGGAATTTGTAACAAGTAAGACAATAAAATTCTGCTTAAAAGCAACATCCATAGGACCTATTCCCAGAAAGATGTATAAAGGATTGCTGCCTAACTTTAGTTAAGCTGAGGCTGTAACATCTTATGTGTACCTTGTCCATAACGTCATAATTCACTGAGTTAAAAGTCAGGTAATTCAGGTGCAATGTACAGAGCTGAGGAAATTTCCTTTTTTGAATTAGAGCTGCCATAATCCCCCAGCAGGATTTTGAAAGATGTAGTCAAAAAAGAGAAAATAACTTTTCCAATGATCATACTGAGAAGCACCTAGCTTCATGGGTTAAGGTGAATTTGCCTCTCACTGTATTTCACAATAAATAGAACTTTTATTCAAATATGTTTTGTCTCTCACTATTCTTTCAATTTGTTCTCTTCAGGTTTTTTTTAAAAAAAGAATGTTATGAGAATGTTTCTGGTTCAGACCCAAGATCTCATCTGCTTCCAGCGTTGGCTATCCAGAGGGGTACAACATGTGGCCCCACAGATGTTGTTTAACTGCATCACCTACCATTGGCTATGCTGGCTAGGACTGATGGATTTCGCAGTCCAATAGTGGCTGGATGGCCACAGAGTCCCTACCTCCAGGCTATCCAAATGCCTCCAGGAAACACACAAAAGGGATGTGAATGAAGGCAACATCTATTTGTTCCCCAGCATCAGATATTCAGATTTAGTTCAAAAGTGGGAGTTTGATTTTGAAGTATATTTGAATGTATTTCTAAGGAGTCTGCAATGGAACAGTCCTGGTCTCCTTCTGGCTTTGTCCCAGTGAGTGTGGGCCAATGTTCTATCCCTGAGTGCACCCTGGAGTAAGAGAATGGCATGTGCAGCCTCTGCCTTGTTATATGATAGGGATGCTCCCATGTGGTGGTCCTGATTTTTTTAAAGGAATTGTCTTATCTCATAATCTGTCTTTGCTGAAAGCAGAAACTATTGGGAAATCGAAGCTTAAATAACCATTTTACCAGTGGGCTCCATGGATAGACAGGAAATATTATAGCCCATATTTTGTTGCTGAAGACAAAGATTTGTAGAAGACAAATCATATAAGCAACCCCTTTGCGCGGATAGGCTTTCTGCCACATGTCCATTCTCACACCAGTTGCAAGATCAGTCACCCAGCTGGTCACGTGATGAGAAAACTTGCCTGAGTAGGGGAACACTTACACATTTGCCTTTCTGCCCTACACTTGGGCAAGAGCAGTAATGGGGACTCGAATCATGGGAGTCGAGTCGCTGTCAACCCAGACTTACGTCGCATCAGGAGACTGTGTTCAGGTTTTGTTTTTTCCCCAATGACTCGGATTCAACTTGTGACTCAGAACACACCCACCTTTCCCTTTTTTTTCTGGGGAAAAAGTTTGTTTTTAATCAGAACTCAGACTTGGTACTTAGGACTCAGGACTTGATACCAAAGACTCAGCCATGGGACTCAGACCCAGGGACTTGCCAACATCCCTGGGGAATAGGACACTGGCCTACCATTTTAGCTATGATGGCTAAGAGTTCCTGATGGACTCGCACTCAATGAATTGTCTTGTGCCAAACAAGTTAATTATCTTGAGGCTTTTGTTTTAAATCTATTTAGGCCAGTGGTGTTGGATAGCTCAGTGACTTTGGTCTTTGGCTGTGAAGCCAAAGGTTGGGAGTTCAATTCCCCACTGTGCCTCCTCAGTGATGCATAGGGCCCCTTTCAGCTCTGTAACTCAAAGGTTGTTGTTGTTGTTGTTGTTATTATTATTATTANNNTCATTATCATTATCATTATCATTATCATTATCATTATCATTATCATTGCAGCCAATGGCTCACAAGGTGGAGGTACATGAACTGTTGTCCATTTCCAATACAGGGGGAAACTGCATACTGTTGGCCATGCTGCATGAGCAGTTCCTGAAACTCTGATCTTCAATTATAAATTTTTACATATCAAAAACATTCATGTATGCAAGTTTGGAGAATTTCTTCTGTGTCCCTTTTCCATACGTTTTGTCCTACTGTTTATGCTTCTTGTTTCTGTTGTTTGGCAATAGTTTTTCCACACTGAATATTTTTCCCGGCTGTTTTGAGTTCCATCCTTTTGACTCTTTTCTTACTTCTAACATTATCTTCTCAATGAAAATGAATTTATATAGAAAACCAAGCAGTCTTGACCATGCCTTGATTACAGTGGTTTTCTGAATTAGTTGAAATGAGGATGAAGATCAAAGGGAAATGAGGTGAGACTCTAAGGAAAATATCAGGTGAAATTATTTGACAATTTAACTCCATGCTTCTTATATAGACTGGAAGAAGTGCTCTAAGCTGTCTCCAAGTCTTTCCTACCCCTTCCTAGCTGGTCATTTTTACTCTAGATGCCAAGGATGGAATTGGGGACCTTCTATCTGGAAAGCATGTGCGCTACCCTACAGTGAGGGCCCTTCTGATAAGGACCATCATACTCAATGCACGGCAGCTGTGGAAAAAAAGCAGCATAGAATCCAACTTCTAGAGTGGATGAGTCGCCCAGATAGGCGGTATAAATCATATGATGATGATGATGATGATGATGATGATGATGATGATGATGGCAGAAAGGCAATTCCACTCCAGTATCTTTGCCAAGAAAACCCCATGATCAGAAACAAAAGGCTAAAAGATATGATGCTGGAAGATGGGCCCCTCAGGTCGGAAGGCGTCCAACATGCTACTGAGGAAGAGCGGAGGACAAGGACAAGTAGCTCTAGAGCTAATGAAGTGGTTGGGCCAAAGCCGAAAGGACACTCAGCTGTGGACGTGCCTGGAAGTGAAAGGAAAGTCCGATGCTCCAAAGAAAAATATTGCATAGGAACCTGGAATGTAAGATCTATGAACCTCGGGAAGCTGGAGGTGGTCAAACAGGAGATGGCAAGAATAAACATTGACATCCTGGGCGTCAGTGAACTAAAATGGACAGGAATGGGTGAATTCAACTCAGATGATTATCATGTCTACTATTGTGGGCAAGAATCCTGTAGAAAGAATGGAGTAGCCCTCATAGTCAACAAAAGAGTGGGTAAAGCTGTAATGGGATACAATCTCAAAAATGATAGAATGATGTCAATACGAATCCAAGGCAGACCTTTCAACATCACAATAATCCAGGTTTATGCACCAACCTCCATTGCTGAGGAGACTGAAATTGAACAATTTTTTGAAGATTTACAACACCTTCTAGAACTGACCCCAAAGAAAGATGTTCTTCTCATTCTAGGGGACTGGAATGCTAAAGTAGGGAGTGAAGAGATAAAAGGAACAACAGGGAAGTTTGGCCTTGGAGTTCAGAACGAAGCAGGACAAAGGCTAATAGAGTTTTGTCAAGAGAATAAGCTGGTCATCACAAACACTCTTTTCCAACAACACAAGAGGCGACTCTATACATGGAAATCACCAGATGGGCAATATCGAAATCAGATTGATTATATTCTCTGCAGCCAAAGATGGAGAAGCTATATACAGTCAGCAAAAACAAG